TCTGCTGAGGATCATCCCTCCATCGCTCTTTGCAGAGCTTCCCCCTCTCAATGTCTGGATTTTCACCATAGCCTTTGGTGAACCACCAGCGAAACTCTATCAGCCTCATAGGGTAATTAGTACAACTCAGCTCTTCCACATCTAAATAAATGTATCAGTGTGGGGACTATACAATAGCTGGATTGCTCTAATGCATTTCAGATGACTGACAGCCAAATAGGTTGTTGCCATGATGAATTACATCCCGTGTTCCAGCTGTACGGTGCTGGATGGATACTATCCCTGCACGTGCTGCAGGAAGGACTGGAGATCTTCACCCAGGCAGTGTTTCCTTGTGATGGTTTGCATCAGCAGCCCATCACATCAGAAAACCGAGCATGCTGATGCTTTTGTTGGAGCAGAGGGATTTTCTAGTAACCAGTAGCAGGTCTGGTTTTGTTTCTGAGCACCATATCCTCTTCCTTAATGATGGCACCCAACTGGAGCCTGCAAGCCAGCTTTCATGACCTTATTGTGAACCACTGAAGCAAACACTCTTCTGCTCACCAGCCACCAGCAGCTAAAAAAAAATGCTGCACCACAAAGCACTTACTGCCTGTGCAAAGAAGCTCTCCGTCTGCATGCGTCACTGTGATTTTTTCAGACAATCAGTTTCAATTAATTCAATTGTTATCACTCCGTAAGACAATTTTCTCATCCCCATTAGAGCTAAAAGGTTAAGCTGAGGGGTCTAATTGAAGAACAGTTCATGCTCAGTGGAGAAGAAAAATATTTTCTTGTTCAGTCTTGCAAACTCCAACAAAATATTTTCCTCTCTGCAGTCCAACTGTGTTTTTTCCAAGGGTTTTGGGGAGGTGATTCGTGACTACAATATGAAGAGGTTCAGGTGTGTTTTGACCTCTGCATTTGCAGACTGAGAAAAACTCAAAATAGTACATAGGCACTAAAGTCCAAAAGATGATCTCACATCTCCATCCCTAAGAGACCAGAGTACCAGAGAAGTTCTGAGTTACTGCTTTTTTGCCAGAAAGTGAATGTAAGGACTTGAATTCTGCTGTTGTGAATATCTAAGTGAGCAGATATTTTAGGTGAGCTAAGTGTCTAAGTGCTTGCCTCCATGTTTTGTGATTGTAGGTTCAGAGCCTGTCTAAGCCTCTCCAGTAGTATTGAAGTCAGAACAAGGTCATTTCCATGCTGAGGCAGGGTGGATCAACTGTCCATCCTTTTGCAGCATAAGCTTGTGTTAAATGCATTCACTCAAAAAGAGGGAGGCAGAGGTGCAGTCCCCCTTGTAGCAAACCCATCTCTCTTACCCCTGAGAAGCATCCCTTAATTACCACTTTGCAGGTAGATGGTGGAGAGGAGACACCTCCACACCTCATACTAGAGAGAAGAATGCAAGTGTTGGAGGCTGTAAGATTCAGGGAGATGATAGGGCTGGCAAGAGGGACCTTGGATCTAACCTCAGCAGTAATAGACACATATCACTCACCTAAACCCATGTGTTTCTGTACTTGTATTAGACAGTCCCAGGATATGTATAGAAGCAATTTGGATGAGTCAGACCTACTAGTGCTGGTTGTTCATTTGCCTGAGGAAGTCTTGCTGTAGGTGCAAGCCTGTGGGCCATTTCTAAAAACAGCTGTTCTTCATAGAAGAGCATATTGGACAGGTTCTGAAGCAGCTTTTGAGGAGCAGGATGAAGCTAGGTGATTGTGGCTTGAGATGTCAAGATTCATGGGTATAAGGAAATAAAAGAAAACTCAAGCTGACTGTGCCGGCGATAAACTTTGTCCACATCACATCAGCTCATTGGTCCATCAAGATGTGTTTTCCTAAAGTGGCCGGCAATGCAACTGCAAGAGTTCCTTTTTCACCCTCTGAGGATAAAACCTGGTAGTTATTCTTCCTGTAAGCTGATAATGAGATGCTGTTTCCATCCATGAAAATAAGCTCACCCTCTGCTGGCATTCCCAGATGTGGTGCATCATTCATACAGAAGTTATACTGCAGTAGCAAGGGAGAGTCCTGTTGAGCACGGCTGAAATAAGTGTCAAGCTGTACCTCAGGCAAGGACCATGTCATTCTAACATTGCTTGCAGAAAAGGGACAATTTTTAAAGTGTCTTTTTTCCTTCGTTTTTCTGAAATGACTTATTTAAATTTGGCGGCCTAAGGTCTTCAGCAGTAATTAAATTCTCTCCAAACTGATCCCATGGTTACTCATCATCCAGGATTTGATTAAAGGAGGCTAGCATATCAAGAAACACTTAAAAGCTGACCTGTATTGTCTGCTGAGCTTATATCTTGCTTCAAACCAGCATGATCCTGGAAAGAGAGTGTTTGTAGATAGATAGAAAACACCATGCCTCACCCAAGGGCTCCAGCTTGCCATCAGAGGGAAGTAATGTACCAGCCACCAAAAACTAGCCTTTTAATCTCCAAGGCAGTTTTCCCTGTTCTGAGATATGCTTGATCTTGCATTTCCTGTGATTGCTGTGAAAGCATTGACTCCTTTGCTGTCTGCTCTGTATTTTTGTGGTTTATTTGGATGCATTTTTTTATTCCCTGACCTCCCTCCCATGCTGATATGCCTCTAGTCACAGCAAATGCATAGAAAATAGGCAAGATTAGTGCTGTAGTTCTTCAAACCACAGCAGCTGACCCTGGCCATCATTCCTCTTTTGGATTTTGTACTCTCAAAAAAAGTCATTAAAAGTGTGTACCCCAAAATGTCTAATTACCTGTTACCCATGAAAGGGCTTTGATCCTGCAGGGCAGCCTTGATATGTGCTTGGCCATTTCAGAAGCATTTTTACTGTAACAATAAACACTTCTCTCCATACACCTTTCCTGCTAACAGCCTTGACACTGTGGAGGAAGATCTAGTGTAAAGTGACTTCCCAATGCAAAAATAATTCCAGAAGTGCCTCACTGAACACACTTCATCATCTTCTACCAGGATGCAAACCATCTCTTTTCTTGATTTCCCAGGTCCTAGCGATGTGTTTGCTCGCAGAAGGTCAGCAGCTGTATCTACACTGGAGTCACAAGGTGGGGAGAGTCAGGGCTTCTTGGTAACTCTAATCCGTGCTTTAAATCCATTGAGTGTGTGGTGTTTCCCTGCATGAAAAATGTCTTAAATTATGGAAGAGAAAGAAGAGAGGGAAGAGGTTCATCTTAGGAGACTTTATATACCCATAAGCATGATATCTCCACCTAAGCTGATCACCTAAACTCCCTTTTCAGTCGGTAGAGGGAAAAGGGCAGAGGGTAGTCCTCTGAGGATGCAGTTCATTCAGCTGGTCATAGATACGTAAATTAAGATGAGATTAATCACATTTAAAGTACTTTTTTCCCCCACTGACTCTAAAAGGAGCCTGCAGTGACTCATTCAGGTGAAGAAGTCTATATTTGACACGTCTACGTGTAGTAACATGAAGAAAAAAGCGAAGTTTTCATGAGAGGTGAAGCATAATTTTCTGTAGCAGACTCCAGCAGCAGTGAGAACAGTGGCTGATGTCTGCAGAATTGAAAGCTGGCTTTTCCAAGGCATTCATCACCTTACACATTTTGGTCTTTGGGTGGTTTGGGAAATGCCACTTGGAGTTTTGAAGGTGCAGAAACAAATCTTCAGAGAGTTGTTTCTGCAAAATGATGTATTAGAATCACCGTCCTTTAGAAATTTTTGAGGCTCTGTGAAGCATTTACAAAATGAGCCTCTAGCCATGCAATTTAGGGGTGAATGTAGTGTGATTGCAAAACTTGCAGTGGAAGGGAATAGCTGAACATGCAGAGACTTGATCTTGTGTTTCTTCGTGTAAATAATGGAAACACAGTCATCTTTCCTATTGAAAGTTGGCTTCCAGAGGAATCAGAAAGACGTAGAACAATTTGTAAAAAAACTTGAAACTGCATCCTTGGGGGGAAAAGATTAGGGATGGATTATTAAGGTGTTGATCTGCAGAATAGTTAGGGCCTTGGTCCAATTTCCACTTGCACTTAGTTCTTAGCAGACAGATGATGTACTAAGAAAAGCCTGCCGTCACCACTGTGCTGGTACCAAACTGAGCAAAAAGCCAAAGAACAGACTGACCTACCTTCTCACATTTTTGGTTAAAAAGTGAACTCTCATCTCTTAGTGATGGGAGTGTTTGCTGTTGCTGAAGCCTGTTGCAAAGCAGCTCATAGCATAAGGAAGCTGTGTTGCTGTCTCCTTTGGGTGGGATCAATCACTTCTGAATGTAGCCATCTGCAGGTTAGGGATTTAATGTAAGCTGATCATCCGGGGTCTATCTACATCAACAGAGAGAGAGGCATCTCCCATCATAAAGCAAGCAGGAATAGGTCACATCTGGAAATTCCTCTTTCTCCAATGATTATAGAGGAAGCCCTGAGGGCTGGCTTAGTTGGGTACCCAACTCTTAAGATTTGTCTTGCCATACAGAAAAGCCAATCAATAACACTGTTGGTCTGCTTTTAGTCCCATTTGATCTTTCTGTCTCTGAACTGGCATAGTCAAGGTTATGGATCCTAAACTTACCAAGTCCAAGCTTGTGAGTCAAATGGATTACAGTCTGTGCAGAAATGCTGAAGCTGGTTTATGTCTTCTTTGTCCTCCTAGATTGGGACCTTTCTTGTCCTGGGCTTCTCTGTCACAGCCCTATTCATATTATCGGTACTCTGGGGAGATCAATGGAAAACTGTTCGCCTGTCATTCCAGGTAAGAGGGTAAGAGAGGCTGGGAGGTCTGTTTGAAAGAGCAGCTTTTTAATATACGCATTTTGGGGTAGTCGGTAGAAAATATTCCATGATGTTGAGACAACTACCTGAAAGGAAGCTGTAGTGAGATGGGAGTCAGTGTCTTCTCCCAAGTAACAAGTGATAGGATGAGAGGAAACAGCCTCAAGTTGCTTGTGGGGAGTTTTAGGTTGGATATTAGGAAAAATTTATTCACTGAAAGAGTTATCAGGCATTAGAACAGGCTGCCCAGGGAGGTGGTGGAGTCACCATCCCTGGAGGTGTTCAAAAATACGGGTAGATGAGGTGCTTAGAGACATGTTTTAGTAACGGACAGGTTATGATTGGACTCAGTGATCTTAAAGCTCTTTTCCAACCAAATGATTCTATGGTTCTATGTGCACTGTTAATTTGCAGGTGCCCAGGGCAGATAAATCAGATCCCTTTGGCTGGCCGGGTTGCTGGTGCAAGAACCTGCACCCTGCTCGCCAACCACCAGTTCAGCAGCCTTAGCGTTAGCACAGTCTCAGTCTCCTGAGCAGCTGGGGAACACTGGTGTCGGGTAGGATAACTTTCAGGATGCAGGAGGCCAGAGTGCATGGTCTGCTGGCCTCCTCAGCGCTCAGCAGATCTGAAGATGGAGGCAAGAGCTGCCCAGTAGTGTTTAGTGTCTGAGCATCCTGGTTCCCACACTTATTGGGAAGGAAAAAGTGCATAGCCTTTGACTACACAGCTGCCTTGAAGATGTTATTTGGGCTAATTGCCTCTCCTTCATGTATCTTAGTGCTTGTGAATGTTGAGAGAGAGGAATCACAGATGTGGTGTTTGTAGGGTGTGGTTAATTCCACATTCCATTTGTAACTGTTGGGCTATGCACTGTCAAAGGTAAAGAGAAACCATCATCTTCTCCACCCCTTACAGACTCCAGGGGAGGTAGATGAGGAGAAGGAGACACAAGAGACTCTGGATTCCCCACAGATGCTGTTTATTTTGGGTGTTCATGCCCTTTGAGATGCTTCATATGGCCTGCCAGTGCTGTTCCCAAAGGAAACGTATCTCTTGTAGCTCCTGTCTCATGTCCATTAGCCTTGCAAAGCTATCTCACATATCCTGTACATCTCGGATGACGCCTCTGTTTACGCAACTGAATCCTGCTTCTGATGGAAAGTTGTTGGTATCAAGTGTCCGGGGCACACAGTATTGCATGCAATAACATCTCTCAACGACTGCTGCTTTCTTCAGCCCTTCCAGCTTAGAGAATCGGGCATGGACTAAGCAATAGGAAAGGCTTGCATCTGTATATATATTTTTTTCCTAGCACAGACTTTATTACCTCTCAGTTCTAGCTGGAACAGAAACCACAGGGCCCCTATGAGCAAGAGAAAATGATGGACTGGTTTATTTGACAGATTTGCCTAGTTTTATGTAAAGTGTGTCATATCAACATCCACTCCTTGTCTCTACAAGTGACAAACTATTTTTGCTTGGTTTCCAGCTCTGCTTATGCATTCATGATAAGCACAGAAGTTATTCTTAGATTCTGAGCTTCTTGTTTTATCTTTGGGATGAAAGAAATCAAGTCCAATTACTATATCTGTCCAGCAATAGGTATTATCTAATATATCATAGGCATTAAATGAACATAAATGTTTTGTGTTACCAAATGAAGACAAATACCTACACATTGAGTTAAAAGTAAAAAAGGGGAAAAAATCCAATTAGCTGTAATACAAGTGAATTAAATGCTTTGAAAGAAATGAAAATGAATTTTTTTAATGGATCTATTGACAATATGTGAAACTAGGTGCTGCAGGATGTATATGAATCTAATAAAATCTGTGATCAGACATGTACGAGATTAACTACTTCTCTTATACCACAATAGTTAGCTCCATATAGGTGTAAATACCACATTTTATCACTCAGGTTTGTTGACATCAGTATAATGATTTAGATACAGTGTGGTATGGAGATAACTATTACCTGGATGGGATAGGGTTAGATTGGATTAAACTGGCTGCTCCTTGGAGGATGCTCACAGATTATGCCATAGCACTAACAGCAATTGTGGACGAGGACAGCCATGTCCCCTTCAGCTGAATTAGGAGAAAGGAGAGCTGTGCAGTGCAGTAAGGAGCACTCCTCAGCCTGGGTAGCTGGCACTTTTCTCTTCTTCAGCTCCAGAGATGTTCAGTGGGTCCAACACAGGTGTGGGAGAGAGGTTGAACTGCTGTTGTCTGCAGCAGGAGCCCATCCAGGTGGAAGGCTGTAGCTGTGTTGAGGTTTGTTTCTATCTATCTCCATACTTCATACTTTAACTAAAATTGTTTTCTCTCCTTGCCAGATCACAGCTCCCTATCTCCACATAGGCGCAATAACCATCATGGTCCTCCTGTCCTGGCCTGTGGCTCTTCATGCCATCAGAGCAGATAAGAAAGGTAGAGTAGCTCTACTTCTACTCCCTCTATGACAAGAGACATGTAACAGTGTGGGAAAATGGGAGCTCTTTCCTCCCACACTTGTACTGCAACTGGAGGCAACTTTTAACCTCTGTGTATCCCAGGGAAATTAGTTGGGCTGGGGCTCGGGCTGCCCAGGAGAAGCTGACTGAGACAGGGGAAAAGAGCTTTTTGATCAGTTCCCAGTATTATCTCATGGGAAGTTCCTGTCCACCTCCGAGAAGTGTGACCGAGTAGTGTAAGGACAAGACCAGATGCCAGGAACAGCTGCAGAAGAGCCTGGAACTGGCTGTTTTTTTCTGACCTAGTCTCTCCATATAGCCAAAATTGTCTACATGACACCCATCTGGAGATGCTGATTTGTAATAAAAATCACAGACAGAATGGGCTGGTGAAAACACTTTTTTCCTGGCCAGGCTTTTTTTTAATTCAACTACATCTGGGGAGACTGGGGAGGAATATGCTGAGACCCTAGACATGACAGTCCACCATGCTTAATGGACTCTCTGATGAATACATCAGCTTAGTGTAAGCCCAAGTTCCTGCAGAGCCGCTAGCACAACATTCAGAAAGGTGTTGATACCCATTCAAGGAAGGGATGTTGGTGCATAGGTACTCATTTCTCAGAGGAAATCTTTTGTTCCCTGAGATGAAGGCTCTCTGAGGCTTTTCAGCAATGTGTCAGCAGATTCCAGAGAAGGCCATAGGTAATGAGTTGGCAAGTTTCTGAGATGCAATAGCCATGCAGTCAGAGTCTGTAGGGTTCTGTAGGTCACACACAGAAGGTCACTGACAGCAATCTGAATGAACCAGGGAAGTGTTCACCTTAAGTGGATGTAACATAGTTGAAGGAGAAACGTTCCTCCTCATCTTCATTGTGAATGAAACTTAAAAGTATTGCATGTTCTTATCTGAGTAAGAAAAATATTAGCATCCTTCTGTTGAGGACTGTTTTTCTACAGATGAGGGATATTTCATTGCACCATCTCTAAAGAAAAGGAAATTAAAGCCCTATCTTGCTGTAAGACATTGTGAGTTGTAATTAAAGCACAAACCCTACAGTCTTGACTTAGCCCACGTCCTTGCTTTGACCATTGTGTTTTCCTAGCTTGCATTGTTTGGAAAGAAAGTGAAAATTAGGGGAACAAGGGATGGGAAAAGGGATGGGACAAAGCCCAACAGCTACTTAGCTGAAGGGCTTTATTAAAAGTCAAGCCGCAAGGCAAACCCATACGTTACAATGTGGATTAACTCTAGCCTTCCTCCTTCAAATTCTTTCAGTTGTTCAGGTGGTAATTGTTGGTCCATACCTGGCTATCCTTCTCTTTCTTTTCTTGATACCTCTGGGGATGTATTCTCCTTGCATCAGAGAGATGGGGACACTTGGACCAAAGCCAGCCCTCATTGGACACCGTGGAGCACCAATGGTAGGTCTGGAGAAGTTATTTTACATCATTGCTTCATCCTGTGTCTTTCTATCTTCATCATTATAATCTCTCTTCCATTAAATCTGTGGAGGGTAGACATTTCCATTTGGAACTGCATGCCAAAGGCATCACTGCATGGGTTTGCTAATGTCATGGTTTAGGGCTGGGCTGGCCGCTAAATGATGGACACTCTCTATTAACCTCTCTCTCCTCCCCAGGAGAGGAAGAGAAAGAGTCTAAGGGAGAGAGACTTAAGGGTTGGGAAAAAACCTAACAGGTTTAATGAAACACCAATAATACTATTACAGGATAATAATGTAAATAGGAAAATAGTGAAATATATACACATATATACAAAAGCAGTATCAAATCCTCAATGATGACTATGTCACCAGAGACTCTGTGGAGCAGGACACTGGAAAAGTCCCAGACCGGACTCAGCAGCAGGTGGGAGCAGGATTCAGGAACTGGATTCAGGAATGTGCGTATTGGGGTTGAAGGCAGACAAACTAGCAGGGTTCTGCTCAGATATTAGTCATGGCAGAAGAAGCGACGAAGATGAGGAAAAAAAGAGATGACGAAAAAAGAGGCTTGACCCTAGCGACGACCCCTTAGCTTCATACTGAGTATGATGTATGTGGGATGGGATACCCTGTTGGTCAGTTTTGGGTCACCTGTCCTGTCTGCTGCTCCCTGCAGGTGCGACTCCTCACTTACAACACCCCAATACAACACCCACCCATGATGTGGCAGTGGCCTTGGTCTCCATAGGCACAAGTATAAGCAAGAGTCATATTTACATACAATACCTAATAGTAACTATAAACATCAACCGCTATCAGTTGTATAAATGAACACTGTCTAGAAAAACATGCTGTTAGTTTCAGAAAGTACAGTCACTTAGAGGAGACTTAACTGAAAAGTAAAATCACTGAATAGAGACTTAGTTCTATTTAGTTTGAACAGGGACAGCTAAGAAGGATAACACTGTTTCTGAGGGACAAGATAGCTTTGGTGGCTAAAGCAGAAGAAGAAAGACAGTAGACTTTACCAAGATAATGATGGCCCCTTAATAAAAACCAAAGGTGTTACGAAAATTATCTGCTAATGCACTCTTTTTTTTTTCAGCTGGCACCAGAAAACACTGAGATGTCATTTCAGAAGACAATTGAACATGGTGGGGATGGCCTTGAAACAGATGTCACTATTAGGTAAGGGGAAAACTTCACATGTCACAGAATATACACTGCTTCTTCTAAGAGTTGCCTTTGGAGACGTGCAGCTCCAGGCAACTGGGTTTTACTGACGGCTGGGACAGGGTCCCTCATTCGGTGCGTGATGATAGTGGCTGTAGGGCATGGTTGTTCTCAGACAAGTCAATGAGCTGTAGCTATTGATTTAACAGTCATTATAAATACAGTTTATTTTAAAGGCTTTGCAGAGTATAAAGAGAAGGCCCTACCTTAGTCTGACTTCCAGGCAATGGTGAGGATTGTATCAGGCCTACAAACCAACAGAAAATTGTACTCAGGCTTGTGACAGTGTTGTTGTGATTATTAGATCCTTAATTGCTTTTTTTGGGGGGACCATTGCCATGATTTGCTAACATGCTGTGCTGGATGAGCATTTTCCAGGCACTGAATGAGAAAAATACTAATCCTTAGATGTTTTACTAATGTAGACTTATTCTGTAAAAGAAAATTTTCTCTATTGGTGTCCATTAAACTTCAGTCTTCTGAAACCTATAGAATCACTTTGGTGTCAGCAAAATGAGATTTCAACCCTAAGTTACTATCCATTTTTGGGGGCCTGACAGGCATAAATGCCACTCTCCACTTTGCCCCTGAGGGAACTGGGGCACAAACAAACATGACTTCTCCGAGGTCACCTGGCAGTATTTAAGCTGGAAATAAAGTGGTGTCCTGAGCCTCAGCATTCCTCCCTATCCCACGCTGCACTGAGGGAGGCTGTGCTGCTGCATTCATGGTGGCCCACATATTCTCCTGACCTGGTATGAGTCTGTTTATGCCATGAATGAACCTGCACACCAGGTGACCTGAACTCTTGCTCTCCAACAGCTATGATGGTGTTCCTTTCCTCATGCATGACAGCACCTTGAGGAGGACAACTAACATCAAGGAGGTCTACCCCAATGACACTGCTCAAAATGCCGCATTATTCTCTTGGGATACCCTGAAGGAGTTGAATGCTGGAACATGGTTCCTTAAGGTAAGGACCATAACAGACTATCATCAACTGGATGTAGAAGAGACACTATCTGGCTACTACTTAATAGCATGAGTGTTAAGAGAAGAACTACTGGTTGAGCCAAAACTCAAAGAAGTCAGTAGAAATCCTTCAGCTGGGATCTCCTTGCTTTGTCTGGTTGGCCTTTGGGCTTAGAAGACTTAAAAGAATTGGCTGGTGTGTGTTCTTTTGTCTTCTTTATCATGACAGCAGCAGAACACATGGTCTAGAGGAAGAAGACAACAACTGCTTGTGCAAGGTGCTGTGTATAGCAGTCAGAGTTGACACCGGACAGAGAAGCACACCAGAGCTAGATGTGAACTATGCAAAACAGTGTTGTCACAGCATGGGTTAATTTCCCTTGTTTCTCAGGTAGAAGGGCTATGCAAAATACAATATACTCACCTAATGAGGGCTGATGTCAAACTTTTTTTCTCTTGGAAATACGAGTTTTTTGCATGCAGCTGACTCCCAGAGGTGACTGCCTGATTGATTTTTTCTTTCATTTCTGTTTATTTCTAGGACAAACCATTTTCATGCATGGGCTCACTGTCAAGGACAGATCAAAACCAGGCAATGAATCAGTCAATTTACAAGCTAAGTAATTTCTTGCGCCTCGCAGACAGTCAGAACAAACTTGTGATATTTGATCTCTACCGCCCTCCAGAGAAACATCCTTACAGGAACTCATGGATCAACAGAACCCTGGAAGTCATCCTCAACGAGTCGGGAATTAGACCCCATCTGGTAGGGTGGCCTCACTACTCTGTATCCTTTTTTCTTGCTCTCTGAATTGGGACTTTGGAGTCATATCCTGTATGATTTCACCTGCATGAAGTCTGTCCCCTTTTTCACTTGTTTTAAAAGGCACCATTTGGAATAAATTCCACTATTGGTTCTTCAGCAGGTACAAAATGGTGTAACCCTACAGCAGGACGGGGAAATAAGCCAGTGTATATACCAGCTGATGCCCCTAAATGGCATCCTTTCATCACTATAATAATTGTCAGCCTACTCCCTGCTACCCATGTTTATTTTATGTATTACATAGAAACTCCTAGCTTAAATTAAAGCACATGAAGCCAGGAACCTTCATTGCCTTTCTCCTTTCCCAGAAAATTCCCTGCTTGATATGGTTGCTAAATCCATGTGGATCAGATTATGTATCCGTTGATGTCTGGGGAAGTTACCCTAATTTGTATCTGCCAAAATTTTCTTCTCCCATGCTGGGAGAACGGGAGAACAGAACATTTTCTCTTGCCTTTCCCATAAACCAAAGCTGTCTTTTCATCCATTTCAAACACCGCATCTTTTGTTGGGCAGCTGATTTCAAGTTGATAAGCGAAGAACAGTGAATACTTATTTCTTGATGAAAATGACTTGCGAGTTTTAACCCTGCCTCCACAAGTTCTTTGATCATAGCAAGAAATACGTCATTTGACAGGCAGGGTTAAGCCTCTCAAGACCTTGTCTTTACTGGGTTTGTGTGAAGGGCAGGGCATATTAGTAACTCTGCTGTGAATTCACTAGGTCCTCTTGTTGCCCACAGGTCCTATGGCTGGAGAACGACATGAGGTCCTTTGTTCAGTCTGTTGCTCCTGGGTTTCAGCAGACAGTGGGCAGTAAGGCCCCAGTTGAAGACCTGTTGATGGACAATATTGCCAGGCTCAATCTGGCCTACACTGAAATGTCCAGTGAAGATATCCGGTAGGTTGCAGTTTCAGCTCCAAGTACAGTCGGTGGATGGCATCTGCTCTACATTTGCCTCATGCGTGTGGCAATGTCTCCCTCCAGTGACCGGCTCCAGCATCTGTAGTGTGTTAGAAAGAGGTGGCACATGGAATTACACTCTCCTTCCCCAAAGTCCATATTTACTTGAGCGCGATCTGAGGATCTTCTGGGTACAATAACACAGCTGTCTCCTGATTTCTTGTCCTTCTTTCCATGCTATCCCTAGTACCACCAACACTGAGTCATGAGAATGAGCAACTATTTAACATCCTGTGGCTCTTCCACAAACATCAGTTGAAGTGCATAATGCAGTGGCGAGAGCCCATCACCCTCTTGTAGGTGGTGTTTTGGAGATTTCATTTCTTGTCTCTGTTGCTACCAATACTCTGTTGCTTGTGATGCACTGGAAATGTCATCTCTCCAATGGAAGGCTTCACATTAATTGCAGGAGATTCCAAAATGGTTCTCTCACATGAAAAAAAAACCTAACCCTAAAAATCAGTCTTACCTGTCCAGCTCTCCTTCTGTGAATAGGATTTTTTTAGCTTTTCTCTGTGCACAAAACCATTGAAATTTAATATAAAATAAAAGAAGAAAATAAAAAGTTTAACCCTTTGCATAAGATTAAAGTCCATGTCTGTGATAAATTTCACAGTAATTAAAATCCTAGGTAGATCCATTCATGTAAATCCTGCTTAGATCCTAGGTAGACTTACAAATGCAGATTTTGATGATATATGCCTTTAGCATTTTGCAAAGAATGGTCCCACTTCATATGAAGCTTCAATAGCTTATAAGAACTTGACAAGTGACCGACTGATGCTGCAAGCCCAACAAACATGAGTAGCCAGCTTCAAGGTGGTTTCAAACAAACTATTGGGACATTGCAAATATATCATTACATTGATTCATATGGCAGAGGGGTGAACAAAGCTTTGACCTTTTTGACATTTAAACTGCATTTGACTCCAGCAGATCAGGTATTCAGTATTGGCCAATTGTGAATGGTTAACTATTGGCTGGTTGGCCTTCCTTTCTGTTCCTTATCTAGGTCCTAAAGCAAGCTTTACCTACAGAGAATTGCCATTGCTCCTTGATTCAGCCCAAAGGAAGCACTAACCTCCTTGCTTTTCTTAATGAAGGCTGTTGCTGCTTGATCTTTTAAAGGAAATATTCTGAGGCAAACATCACCACCAACTTCTATGTCATCAGTGAGCCATGGCTTTTCTCCCTGGCATGGTGCTCTGGGGCACACTCTGTGACCACCAATGCTGTCCACACACTGAAGAATCTCAGCCAGCCACTCTTCCTCATGGTAAGTAAAAATTCTCCCCCTCCCAGGGGTAAGAGGTAGGGTTGGGATGTTCTTGGTTACCTTTGAAGACCACGGGCCAGTTCATGCATGAATAAAGGAGAAGACCCTTTGCATGAAAAGGACTGAATTGAAATCCAGTTTATCTGACACCTCTGAGCCACTCCAGATATCACCATACTCTACTTTTCTTTTCTCTTGGCCCCAGTAAAGATTTCTCTCTGGCCTTGAGGCTAGGGAAAAGCAGTCATGTTGAGACTTGTGTGGGGAGAATGGAAGAGCCTTTGAGGGCACATGTAGCTGATGCAAGAGGATTTCCATTTCTAAAGCTTTTGAAGCATCTTATTGATGTCAGAGGTTCCTCATTTCCCAGGGTTTCCCACTGCCCTTTGCTAACTTGGTCTTCCACAAGCCCAGGAGAAACAACCACAGAAATAACCTTTCCTTGCTGGGAGGAATTTTTCACATAATTTGTCTATTACCTAATTCTCCTTGGACAACCTGCTAAGGCTAAGCGAGCACCTGGTGCACTGGCTCCACCAGAGTCCCTGAAGCCTAAAGGTTATCACTTTGAATGACTGCCTTCATGCTCTTGAAGTAGGCTTTTTGATGCTCCCATCCAGAAAACTGCAGTATTTCAGTGCATTCTGAGGGTGTGTAGAGGTCCAGTCTAAGGACGAATCTTCAGATGCTTTTAAACTTAAACCAGGAGCCTCCTCGGACCCTCTGTGGTGTGCACTGAAGGACAATTTTGCCAGGGAAGATGAGATGACACCAGTTGATCTTAACGCTGGAGGAGAGCAGAGAGAACTAAATTACCTGCCTGTGCAAACAAGAGGTTCCTGTTATACTCACTGTGATGTGATCCAATCTTCTTGGCCACAGCCCAGCAGACCTGCTTTTATGACAGATGACGATTTGGCACCAGTACTCACTGTGGGGTGGCCACTTTGAAATGCCACCAAATGCTTTAAGTACCCGAGGGATGTTACTGCACGTGCACACCAGGCAGCAGAATTGCTGTAGCCAAGCAGAAGAAAGCTTGAGCAACTTTTCTGCATGTCTCAAGGTCCTTGGTGGTGGGCACATCCTCTGTCATTCTCTTCCAGACTCCGCAGCAGTACAACATCATGTGGATCCTGACAGATCTGACCGCTGTGCTCCTCATCTCACTCATCTTTGCTCTGCACTGGTAACTATTGAGTTGCTAATGGCTGTGCTAACCTGATCTTTTGGAGGGAAGGAGGGATGGAAGATTAAAATTACCATTGAGAACATTTCCTTTCCCTTTTCTTCCCTTTAGGAACTAGAAGAAAGCCCTGAAAGTCTCCAAAACCCTCTCTGCTCTCATTTTCTCTTTCCATTTTGGCAGCTCAGGCATCATCTACCCTCAGGATTTCGTAGAGACTTGGTCGATTTACAGTAACAATATAAACCAGTTACCAAAGCTGATGGGCTGAGAAAGGAACCAGTTTTTCTATTCTTACTATTTATACACACATTGTTGCATTGGTCTGGTTTAGGAGAAAAGCTCACAGTGTTAATATTTGAGCATCCTGTGTGGTGTCTGCATACTCCAGAGCCCCTGAGGAAATCCATCCTCCCAGGTGAAAATGTCTGTGTGCCACAGATGCCGCATTTTTGCTCCCTCCCACACCATGAAAGACACTGCCTTTGCTTAATAATTGGGGAAAGTGGGGTTCCTGGGACAGACACAAAGTGGCTCCTTGCCTTCCTTCACCTCACCCTGCCCTGCTCTCAGCAGCCCACCCTCAGGTCGTGCTTTAGAAGCCTTCACCTTGCTTTCAAGGCTGCAAGTTGCAGGGTGGTTTGCCATCACCCCTGCAATGCATCACCGCCGCTGTCAGCCCTTCCTATGCCTGACATGCATCTTGTGCATGCATTTCCCAGGGCCCTGCAGATGCTTCTGATCCAGCCTAATAACATCTTCTGGGCTCACATTGCAGCAAGGGAGTGAAGGGCCATCAGCTGTGCCCGAGAACCCTGCATTGTCTTATTTATCAGGTTTACGAATGCACCAAAATCACAAGTTTTTTAATTTCCCCAACTGCTTAGCAACCAGGGGCTGTAAACATTTTCTGGGCTTTTGAGCTGTCCACTATTTCATAGAAAACAGAGCTTAGTCACAGAGTTGCCTTCAAAATGCTGTTGCACATGTGAAGTGTGGATGCTCAGACATCAGTCATGCACTGGAGTCCCTTCTCAGTAATGGCCTCAGCAAACCCCAAAATACCAGGGCAGTTCCTGCCATGACAAAGCAGAAGAAAGGTGTCTGGGTCACCAGGGAGCTGCAAGGGGAAACGCAGCAAGTGGTGGCCTGACCCAGGTGCTTTTCCCCATGCAGGTGGCGAGAGCGGAGTTTCTCCTGCTGTGCCCATGACGGTGGTTCAATGCTGGAGAGCGGCACCTACAACAAGTTCAGGACAGGTGAGCAGGGCGAGGGGAGATGGGGCCCGTGTCCTGCTCAGGGCTGTCTCCACAGGGGCCCTGAGGTATGGATTGATGATGGGTGCCCATGTTGTGGTGAAGGATGGCTGCATCCTGGGTTGTCTCAGTCTCAGGTGTGGGTGACAGTGATTCCTGAGTGCTGGTTTTTGCACCCATGGAGCTCCATCATCTAGACAAAATGACCCAACCTAGGCTGCACAGATTTTCAGCCAGGTTGTTTGCTCATGATGGATGGAAAAGCAACTGCAAATGTTTTGGTAGCTCACTGTGTGTCCGCTTTTCCAGAACTGAGTGACATACCCACTGTCGTGGCCTGATGGGGAAGGAGAGGACACAGACCTGCCATCTCAATGAGGACTGGAGAGCAGACCCTTCCTTGCTGCCCCTTCCTGCAGTGCAAACACCAGCCTGCCAAGGGGGCAGCTGTGGGTGGCTCAGATCTGCCTGGTGAGGACCTGAGGCATTTGACTCCATGACCCTGCTGGAGATGGGCACTGAGCTTCCTCTCCTACAGTTTTCCTCTCAATTCCATGGCTGGCAGGGATCCCTGGGATGTAGGGGATCACAGATGAAGTTGCAGCCACGAAGAAGCTGTGCACCATGGTGAGATGCAGCAACCACATGGGAGCCACCACTTCCCTCTGAGACCACTGGCATCCCACAGGGCAATCACCCTGTGATCCCTCCTGCTGTGTGTAAGCCCTCTCTTTTCACAGCTGTGCTTTAACACATGCTGCAAACCCCTGAGCATCCTGCAGTCCTTCTTGTTCTCAGCTGTCCACATTTCTACCATCAGACCAGCCTCTTCTCCACACGTTCCCTCTGTCCCTCCCCGCAGGTGTCCTCCATCCCCTAGAGCACACCAGCCCCACCACTATGGTCAAGTGCTGCTGGCTGGGTCACTAGGGTCCATACCTCTCTACAATGCAGGCAGGGACACCTTAGGTTTTCCTGTTCCCCACTCTTGTCCTGCCATAGACCCTGACAGGAAAGTCTCTTCCCCTTGGCTGTAGGCAAGGGCATATTGTCCCACAGGTGCTGAAGGACTTTTTGGTGCCTTGGCCATGTAGCTACAGGACTATAACCAGGAGCACAACACTTTTCTTCAGAAGGATTGAGCTGCACTGAATTGGTCCCACCAGATGTCCTGTTTGCTTTTCCCTTGGGAAGGTCTGTATACCTGCTCTGCACCCTGGGATTTATTCTGATATTTGTTTCTCCCAGTGGCCAGGGTGCTATGCCCTGCTCTGCAAGGAAGATGTGAGCCTCTCCCAGGTTTAAGCCATAAATTCTACTTGAATAGATAATAAGAACTCATTGTTTTGTAAATTGCAAGTGATGTTTTAAATACATTTTAGCTCTCCTATCCTGTTTTGTTCTTATTTCGGCCAACTGGGCAAGAGGAAGAAAATAGTAGTCTTTACCTGAATCAGCCTGATGCAGCGCAGTGTTTTGCTAAACAAACCTATCACAAGTGAATTGTGACAGGGAATCATTAGGTTTCAGAGTTATCTGTGCTAAGAGGCACTCAAACCTTTTCAGGTTGCAATTTTAGAGTATTTTGAAGGCTAGAAATGCAAAAAGGCAGCATCCTCCTTTGGAAAAGGCCTAAAGGGCTGGTGGATTGCTGCAAAGCAGCTCCAGATCTATGAAGCATGGGGAGACAATGCTACTGATGGTGTTAAACCTCCTTCCCATGCCTTGCATCCATAGCTGGTTCATAATTTTTTGTGGGTACCACTCATGTGGTGGTACGTGAGCAGCAAGAATAGGTGGAGTGTGTGTGGGTTGAGCAGTGGTGTGCACTGTGGGGTCCTCAGTGTGTCCCCTGGTGTCCAGGTGAGGGACGTGGATGGGACAAGCTGTGGTCCCCTGATCACAGCTTTTAATATGTATTGGGAAAGCTACCTCAGTGCACCTCCATCATTATATCCTGCTGCTGCTTGATCATTACGCAGTGATGTCTGCCCGTACTCACCTTGTTCTCAATAGTTTTGTCCAGGAAGAGCCTGGCCAATTAGACCTGTGGTCTCCTGTAATGCCTTACGCCCCGTCACACCTCAGCTACTGTTGTTGCTTCACAGCTAGCAGGGTCTGGCAACGCCATTAAGCATTGGCTGGTAGTCTGACTCCCACCTGAGATTTTCATCCAGTACTTCCTATATTCAATGATTCAGCTCAAAACTTATCTTTGTGGAGGAACCAGCCCTTGTCTTAGAGCGTGAGCAGTGGAGACTCCCCAGGCTCCAGTGTTTTCTACCTCAAAAGAAAAGATTTCAATTTCCAGACTGGGCACACTGGTGATTTGCTCCCCATTGCTGGATATTCTCACAAGGAGTGCCACTCTGCAAGAAGTCTTGTCCTCAATGAGGACCTCAAGAGCTCTGCACCAACCCTTCCCTGTGGAAACACCACCACAACTGCACAGGGCAGAACAGCCTCCCACAAACCACTCGATGCTTTTTAATTACAGTATTTCGCTTGGACATATGTTTTTAATGTTACATCGCTTGGTGTGAATACAAAGAGGCCAGCAGATGCTAATACATATGACACACAGGCACACGCACACAGAGTCTCGGCACCCCCAAAACAGTGGGGAGCATGAGAGGCTGACAGAGCTGTGAATGAAGGGACGAGGGTGGTGGTGAGGGAAAGCTGGCCCAGGACAGCACTGGAAAACACTGTTATGCTGCATCGTCTACTGAGCGTGCTGTGGGAGGCAGGGGTGGCTGGAGACTTGCAGAAGCAGTAGTGGTGGTGGGGATGACAGGCATGTGTCTAAGGATGGGTGGGATCCCTGGGACAGCTGGATCATGGCAGTGAAGGAGGGGAGAGAATCATCAGAGGTGGATGGTGAAGACGCAGCTCGGCTTCCAGCGCAGCCTTGGCTGGTGAAACCATGGTCCTGTCACCAGAGGGTCTTGGGTAGGGGACAGTGAAGGAAAGGGATCTTCTAGCAGCCCTGTCTGGCTGGTGGATGTCTCCATGCAGCATCTCATTTGCTTTGGTGGAGCAACTGAGGTTCAAATTAACTGCTGCATCACAGTCCTCGAGGTCCAGTAGGCAGAGCTGCCTGGCGTGCCGTGGTGTTGGGTGACTGAATCCAGCTGAGCTTAACAGAACAACACACAGCACCCTACAATATGCACTTTTATGAAAGCAGCCACACTCAGCCCAATGCACAGGACCAAGAAAGGTCTCCCACATCTTCTGAGATCCACTCAGTGTTACTGACAGCAGCACCAGGTCTTCGTGGACAATTCTCACCCCTTCTGTTGCCACATAGTCCTCTGAAGCCTGGATTTTGGAAAGGCACCCCAGGCTCCTTCCCCTGCATCCCCCCATACACTACATAGCTTCAGCCTCCTCTCTGCTGGCAGATCCCATCTCTGCTCCAAAGCAGGCTGGTTTGTGCTGCATGATGCTGGGTGGAGGATGGGACAACCAGACAGCAGATTAGTACAGCCAACCAATGATAGAGAAACGCCCATCAAAATCAAGGGCCTGCTCTCACTGTGAGTGGTTCAGGTCCAGCTGGGACTTGCAAAGAGACATTTTATACAGCAACACACACAAAAGCAGAATAAAATTGTTAGGAGTTTCCAACCCTTATGGCCAAGTTCATATTTGAAACATAGCTCAACACAGGCTTGGCCTCAGTCTTCCAAGCATGGGGACTTCAAAACCCCTACATACATATTGAAGCTTGCAGTAAAGATCCTCCCAGGGTTAATTTGTCTGGACACAGAGGACAAACGGAGATAATTCATCTTCCAAGCTTTACTTCCAGCTGTGCCTTACTCAGCCTCTGGCAGTCACGGCTCTGGGGGGATCCCTGGGCGAGGGATTGTCCTGCAGGTCGCCCTCAGCCCCTAGTTGATGTCCAGGTACCAGCACAAAATGCAGGATTCTTTTTTTCCTTTTTAATATTTTAAAAAATAAATAGAAGAAGAAACAAAACTTTAAAATTTGTTCTTTAAATATTTCCAGCATTGCACAGACAGCACTTTAGTACTCTAGCTTGTTCAATCAGTAGTTTGTTTATTCTGATTCCTAGTTAAAATGTGCTCCTCCCAGCCTGTTTTTTTCTTTCTGTCCTTCTTAAGAACACAGTATATTTTTTGTAATGTCAAGAAACAAGCCCTTCAGTGTTCATTGGACACTTTTCCAGCATAGGTCCAGGCTCTGTTATTCCTCTTCAAACCTGAAATGCCCATAACATTACCAAAAGCTGTTAGCATCACGATAGCTCTCTCAAGGAAGAAAAAACAAACCAAACCAAACCAAGCCACACACACACATACACACACACACACACACACACACAAATCGTCTTCCAAGAGTCTTTGTGATGCCAGCCATCAGGTTCGGGCAAACGTCCTGCCCAACTGTCTTTGCTCAGTCACTGTCTGAGAGCAGTGGTGTCCCCTGGAAATCTTTGAGGTGTAAGGTGGAGTCAGGATGCAGAGTGAGGAAGAAAAATGGGAGGTCAGAGATAGTCATCTTCACTGGAAGGGGAGGTGGGATTTGAGCCCTCAAGGTCAGAGTCCAGCGAACTCCCTGACGGTGTTCGGCTCATCTTCCACATCTGGGAGGCAAAGGTTCTCCCCCAGCTGCACGGGTATCCCACAGGCCTCAGCTGGTGAATTAGCCTCATGGCCACCTGCCACTGGCTTCTTGCAGTTCACTTGCTACCCTTTGCACTCCTCTGTTTGCTCATGGCTGTTAGCATCTGGCTGATGTACGAGGTCAGAAGATCATCCATCTTGTAACCCTGAGGAGGAGAGAGATGTTACCTGCCTTTAGAGCACAGTTTACAGTCTCTGGCTCATGCCTCCTGAGCACACTGGCTACCAATTGTTGACTTTCAAGTTTTCAGGTACATTTTGATCTGTTCCACCACTCTCCTTAGGTGCAATGACATCACCATAAGGAACACAGTCCAATCATCATTTGCAATGTTGAGATGGAGGAACTCACCATCCTAGGATGTTGTTGAGACTAAAGATCTATGGAGCTTTGGATGGGACCTCTTAGATGGCCAACAAAATCCTGAATACTTCAAATTAATAACAATCCAGCAGGAA